AAATATTGCAAATTAATATCTCAAAATTGCAAATTCAAATCTCAGAATTGCAAATTGAAATCTCAAATATTGCAAATTCAAATCTCAAAATTGCAAATTAAATCTCAAATATTGCAAATTCACATCTCAGAATTGCAAATTCAAATCTCAAATATTGCAAATTCAAATCTCAGAATAGCAAATTCAAATCTCAAAATTGCAAATTCAATCTCAAAAATCTCAAATTAGCAAACCAAAACTCTACACAAAATTAGTTTTTCCACCCAATTCAAGCTAAAACCACCACAGTCACTCAGGTGCTTTTCCCCATCCCATCCTGACTGATGGGGAAACATGGAATTTTCTTCTCTTTTTCCGCTGGAATAGTTTGGACTGTTCAGTTGGAACCAAAGCTTTTTGCTCTGTGTTTTAAGCACCCAACTCTTGGAATTCCAGTAATAGAAAAGCTATTTCAATAAGTTGAAAATATTGAATAAACACTGGGATAATTCCAGGAATATCGGAACCCGTGGCACTGGAAAAGCACAGCCCCTGGAACTGGCAGAAATTCCTTCTTGCAGAGGGAGATGGATGCTCCCCATGCCTGAGTTTTCCTGCAGATCCTGCACAGAAGGAACTGAAATTGGATTTAAAAGGCTCCATCCCAAGTCCCTTTGTCCTTCTGGCTGAGGAATGAGTCAGAGTGACACAAATTTATCAACCTCAGTGCATCCAGCCTGGGAAATGGAGGGATTGGGAAAGTCACCCTGCTCATCTCCACACAAAATTCCCAAATTATTGCCAATTTTGGAGAGTCCAGCACTGCCAGAGCTCCTGAGAGCAGAACTGCAGCCAGTTTTCCTTTCTTTTTCCCCATTTATCCCCCTTTTTTACACCTTTCAAATGAGGTCTAAATTTGGGGCTGGCCGGTGGCAGCTGAGCATTTGAACACCCCTGGAATTCCCAGGATGGAGCTCATTAACAAAGGTCTAAAATAAGCACAGGAATTTCAGCAAGGGAATAAAGAGCTGTCTTGGTAAATTTGGGAGAAAATTTTTAAAGGGTTTTTTTTTAGGAAGTAGATTTAAGTGTTTGTTTTTTTTTTTATTGGCTCGGCAAAGTATTTTTTTGGAGAAAAGTGGGAAAAATGTTTATTTACTAGGTAAAGTATTTATTAGTATTAAAAATATTAAATAATAAAATTGTTGGTTGTTTTGAAGAGATGATAAATTTAGAAAGGTTTTTTTTTTTTTGTGGGTTGTCGGTTGGTTTATTTAGGTTTTTTATTCCTTTTTTTGGTGTTATAAATGTTGTGGCTTAGGCTTGGTTTGGTGGGTTATAGGTGTGAGCTGGTGGTGGTTTATTGGGTGTTACTTCTTACTACTTTCTTTCTTTCTTTCTTTCTTTCTTCTTACTACTTACTATTTAGAGTAATAGTAAGTAGTAGTAAATAGTAGTAAAACTATTTCTTAAATATACTATAAATATACTATAATATGTAATATATATATATTATATATATTATATATTATATATTATATATTATATATTATATATTATATATTATATATTATATATTATATATTATATTATATATTATATATTATATATTATATATTATATACTATTAAATATATTATATATTATATACTATTAAATATATTATATTTATACTATATTTAAGAAATATACTTAAATATACTATAAATATACTATAAAACTATTTCTTAAATAGTTTCAAGAAAAAGAAAAAAATTACTATTTAGGGATTATTTTGTGTTTTAGTTAAAAACTATTGTGCTTATTCCTGTTCCCTAGCAAAGATAAGAGCAGACCTTTCCTTGCTGGGAGAGGTTTTTGATTATTTTGATGAACTTTAGGAGAAGTATCCCAATGTTTGTCGCCCTCTGTGCTAAGGCAGAGTGGGAGGGAAGGACAAATTCCTGCTGCTCCAGGGAGGTTTTGTCACTGCTCAGTTATTTCCTGCTTATTTTGGGATCCAGCTGGATCCCAGTGCCACCTACAACCTTGGGAATGCAGGATGTCAACCAACACCTCTTTGGAGGTGACATCCTTGGAGCTTCAGACTTTTATGGGAAGAGAGTTTCAATTTGGCCACGACAACCTGATCTTTAATTAAAACTCTTCCTCTCCTGGAGTCCCTTGGGGCAGTTTGGGAAATTGGGATGGGCATCCCTGATTCCCATGGGATCACCCCAGCCCAGGGTTATCTCCAGGCTTTGGGAAAGATCTGTTGCTCTCCTAAGGTTGTGAGCAATCCTCTCTGCTGAAAGGTTCATTTTCTGGCACAAAAGGGTTATTCCAGGAATTCCCACCGGCTCCTCCAATCCTGAGAAGGTCCCAGAACCACTGGAAAATCTCAGGCTGGGTTGGCCAGCATGGATCTACATCCACATTAACCTGGTTTTCCTTGGATCTCCTGGATTTCAAAGGTGCCTTCCCTTTCTCTGGGCCCACAGATCTTGTTGGCACCAGGAGAAACATCCATGAAATGCCTGGAAAACCAGCAGATGAGCCATCAACCCAAATATTCCCTCTCCCATGTAAGAAAATTTCCCTCAGAGGTGACTTCCCGCTCCGGGTTTTCCTTGTCATCCCTTTCCTCCTGCTCTTGTCACCCCATTCCTGCTTCTCCCTCACTCCTTGGCACACAACACCTCAGAAACCCTTGGCAGATCCCTCAGATCCCTGATGACTGAGGCAAAATTCCCCAAAACACCTGTGGAGCTCTTGGAATGCTCCAGCTCCTCCCACCATGTGGCAAAACCCAAGCAAGGACTCGGCTGCAACGGAAAGGAAAAGCAAAGGAAGGTAAAAAATCCATTGGGAAAGGCTGGAACTGCTTCAAAATCCCTCTGAGATTTGAGGGGAGCCCAGGGTGGGGTGGGGCTGCACAGGATCCAGCTGTGCCAGGACATCCAGCTGTGCCAGGACATCCAGCTGTGCCAGGACATCCAGCTGTGCCAGGATATCCAGCACGTCAGTGCTCCGGGGGGATGGAAACCTCGGGAAGCTGCCTGGGATGAGGGACAAACACGGGACACAACGATGCCTTGGGAAGGCTGATCTAGAGCAGAGGCTGGACAGAGTTAAAGAATAAAGTAGATGTATTAAAATAATAAAGATGAAATAAATAATAATTTAACAATAAATCATTACAGTATTGATATAATATATTCATTATAAATAAATATTTACATTATTAATTTAATATGTTATATTAATTATATAATATATCAACTATATATTATTATATTAATTCTTATTGTGTTAGAATACATTTAATAATGTAATAATAATGAAGTGTAACTATTTATTAAAATATAATTTAATAAATAGTTTAATAAAAATTATTAAAAGGCCTCTATGGATGCAGCACCAGAGCCCAGCCAGGGCTGCACCCAAATGACCCAAAATGGCCCCAAAATGCACGAGCGCTCCCGGGGGCTCTCCCTGGGATCAGTTCTGCTCCATTGGCACCTTGGAGTTCATTGTCCCATTCCAGCTTTAGCCCAGGCAGTCCCACCCTGCTTGTTTTTCTCTCTCCAGCCCACGGTGTTTGTGCTCCTGGGCTGAGATTTGGATCATTTGTCCTTGGTGCCCAGCTGGAGCAGGAATTGTTTTGTCTCCCTGCTCTGTGCACACAGCTCAGCATCCCATAATGTGAAGCTCAGACCCACACACTAAAGCAGCACAGAATGTGAAAAATAGAAAAAGACAAGGTGATGCCTCAAACCTGAGACATCAGCAGCACAGATGAGGTTCTGGGGAGCAGGGAAAGGGTTGGGAGCAGGGAATGCTCAGCCTGGCAGCTGGACAAGGAAGGAATCCTGGCCCTGTGAGCACCACATGGGACAGGGAATGGGATCCAGGGAAAAACACGGCCTGGAAATCCTTAATGGGACTTCCAGAGTGTGCAGGGGATGGAGAGGGATTTGTCACAGGAGTGTGGAGGGACAGGACAAGGGGGAATGGTTTAAACTGCAGGAAAATAGAGTTAGGTGGGATATTGGGAATTGGGAATTGTTCCCTGGCAGGGTGGGCAGGGCTGGGATGGAATTCCCAGAGCAGATGGGGCTGCCCCTGGATCCTGGAATGTTCAGTTCCAGGTTGGACACTGGGGCTGGAGCAGCCTGGCACAGTGGGAGGTGTCCCTGCCATGGCAGGGGTGGCACTGGGTGATCCTTCAGGTCCCTTTCCAACCCAAACCAAGGATTCCACAACAAATTTAGGAAGAGTTTCCCCCTGGTGAGCTGAGTTTGCATTCCCAGCCTGGCAGCTGCTCTCTCCTTAGGGATCACATCCCCAAATTTCCCCACAGCCAGCTCAGCTTCCCTGGCCCCACATCCATGGAGAGGCAGGGAAATCCCCCCCCTGCCCATCCCAAACTGCCCAGTTGTTCCAAATTAATTTATTTTCTGTTTTTCTGCATCTTTCTCTGACACTTCAGGGATGGGGAATCCACAATCCCTCTGGGAAAATCCCTCTGGACTGCTCCTGTCTCCTCCTAAAAGTCCCCACAAAACAACCTCGGATTGTGGGGGGGCTTCCAGGACTTTTGAGAATAACAATAAAAAAAAAGAATTAAAAAAAAAAAAGAGCAACACTGAAGAAATTCAATGATCCCAGAACAGAAATTCCCCCTTCCCAAGGCTGGCTCCTGCATCTCAGACTGATGGGATGTAATTCCAGAGGAAAATTCCCAGGAATTTCTTGCTCTGTGTTGGGATTTGATTGTCTGGAGCTGAGCTTTGGGAGCAGGAAGGGAAGGAGGGAGCTATGTATCCTCTCACCCTCTAAATTCGAATAACTCCCGATTTTTTGCATCATTACCAACACTTTTTTATTCTGGAATGAGCAAATCACAAGTTAGGAATTCAGGCTGGGATTGCTTCCTTCCCACTGCCATTGCTTTCCTCAAATTATTGCCACAAATCCATGAAGAGCACAGTAAAACACTGGAATTAAGGAATGAAGAAACTGAAGCTACTCTTGAAGGCTTTTAAATATTATTATTTATTAAAATAGAAAGACAAAAATTATTATTATGTTCCAATATCTCCTGGGAACATTTTCCTCTGCCCAAGGATGAAAAAAAAGGTCCTGAGACACCTGAAAGAGCAAGAAAAATCTGATTTAATAATACTTTTAGTGTTTGTTAATATTATTCTCACTAATAAAGTACTTAATAATAGGGAAAACAACCCCTTGGGAACTGCAAGGAAATAAACAACCTGGAATGGGAATCATCAAAGATCAGAAGTGGGGCAGAGCATCCCTTAAAACATGGATTTCAGGAGGAAAAGTTTCTGTATAATTCTGAAAATGTGGGATCTGATTCCAGCTGGGACAAAATAAATAAATAAATACATACATACATAAATAAATAATAACTGTGTTTGTCTTCCCTCTATGTATTAATAATTTTATTTGTGACTCTTTCTAAAAATAAAGGAAGTACCCAAACATGTGAATGGCTTTTAAAATAATCTTGAAATTAGAAAGCATTCCTTTAATTAGTTTTTAGCGTGTGGAATTCATGTCGAATTATTACTAACTTATTACAAAATATTACTAATTATTCCTAAATAGTTCTCAGCCAGGATGGTTCTTTACTTTTTACCAAATTGAGATGGATGAAAGGATGGAAAACCATCATTTGATAATGACAGGGAAAATAAAATATATTCCCTGTGAGTTTAAAGAGAGAATGTTGGAATGACTGTGGGAATAAAGGGGATTTTTCCTTATTTTTTCCTTAATTTTTCCTTAATTTTTCCTTAATTTTTTCCTTAATTTTTCCTTAATTCTTCAGGACTCTGCAGCGCCCCATCCCTTGGGACAACCAGCAGCAATGGCAGCATATTCCTGACAATCCAGTTATGCAGCAGGTCTTATCAAATCCTCTTATCACTTCCACTCCAGCTGAAATAGGAACTTTTTCCTGTATTTATTTGCAGCAAACCCAAACATTGAGGCTGGAAAACCCCAGAGGCCAAGGGAGACGTTGGATTTAATCCAAAGGGAAACAAGTCCATTTTATTTGAAATTAAATCCTGGCTCACTCAGAGCTGTTTGTTACTGGGAATTGCAGAAATGGGAATGTTTCACTTTAGGACAGTCAAAATATTCCTGTTTTTTCCCCTTTTTTTTAATCCTATTTGGGGTTTGTTTGTGTTTTTGGCTGAAGGAATTGGGTGAGTTTGACATGACACTTCATGAAGGCTGTGGGAAGGAAAATAGAAATAAAAAGAGGGCCTGAGAATGATCCAGGGGTTGGCAAATAACTCCTGGAATGACAGGCAAGATTGATAGGCAATAGGAAATAACCCAGACTTCCCAGCTTTGGGAATATTTTTAAGCATCTCCCAGTTTCCAGCACAAAACCATTCCCAAAATCACCTCCTTCCCTTAGTGATGCAATAAATTCACTTTCCTTCTCCCAGAGCTCTGGAATTGAAGGGTGAAAGGGATGAACTTGTCATAAAATTTGTTTTTTGCTGGAGGGATGGAAAGCCAGTGTGTGTGGATTTATAAAATTATATTTAAATGATATAAAATATTGTATTATAAAAAAATTCTATAAATTACATAAAAATAAACCATGAGGAAAATGGAACGAGAAGAGAACCCACAAAAACCAGGAGGTGACAGAAAAGATGAGGGGACAAGAGGCAGAAGTTGTCACCTGAAAACGACATCCCTGCCCTGGGTAGGCCACCAATTTCTGCCAGCAGGGAAGGATTTTCTCCCTCCCACCTCAGCCTGGCTTTATCCAGGAGTTTTTAATTCCCCTCTCCCTGAAGAATTCAATGTTCCAGTGGTGGAAGGTGGCTCTTCCCAAATCCCAAATTAATTTGGGGTTGGCAGGAGTCCCTCGAGGTTCATTTGTCCCTCACAGCCAGATTCCATTTTGTGAAGTCTCGCTCCAGTAAAAAATTCAGCCATTGGAGCTCTCATCGGAGCCAAATCACTTCTCCAAGGTGTTTTTAAGGAAATTTTGAAATGAAAACGTTTGAAAAATCCCAAGTTTTTTTGGATTTTCGGGTCACTGACCCTTATCAGGGATCAGGGGGTGTCAGGAGCGGAGCAGGGCCTTGGGGATGCTCAGGAGGTTGTGGTGCCTCAGAACTTGGGCACTGCAGGAATTTTGGGCACAAATTGCTCCTTGTGGAACTTCCTGCCACATCTACATGCTGCCCTGCTGGATCTCCTCAGGAATTTCTCCTAAATTCCCTAAAAATCTCTGGATTCCCCCAGTGGGAATCACCCCAAAACTTGATTTCTGATATCCACACTCCAGCCGTGTCCCAGCCTTGGATGAAGCTGCTGCACCCTCATTTCCCATGGGAAGAACATGCAAAAATCCCACAGAATTTTGATCAATCCCCACAGAAAAGGATTCTTGTCCCTTTGGGAGTGCCCTGGCTCCAGCTGCAGCTCTGGGATGGATTAACCCCACTCCAAGTTTATCCACGGATAAAAGCTTCGTTTGGCACTGGTGCTTTGGGCTCCCCAGGAAGATCCTCCAGGCCAAAGTGTGAACACCAGAAATGGGAGTTTATGTGAACCAAACCTCACCTTTCCAAGTCTGTCCTTCACTAAAAGAATCATGGAATGGTTGGGTTGGAAAGGGCTGAAGGATCATTTAATCCAACATGTGCAGGGATATTTCCATGGCACCTTCCTCCTCCCAGGAGAAAGAGTGGCCAGCAGGTAGGAAAAGGAGTATAAAATAAATTTTAGAGCTGAAGAGCTCTTCTTTCATCTTATCCATCACAGAATAAAGATGGATAAAATGTGGCCTCGGTGTCCCTAAAGCCAGGCCCAACTCCCATAATTTTATTCCTGTGCAACCCCTCCATCCAACATTAACATCAAAAGCACAGATTCCATTTTCTATTTCTGTTTTTGCTGCAGAGAAGCCTGAGGTGACCATCCAGATGGGAAATTATTCCAAGTTTGGCATCAAAGCCACTCTGGTCTCCCAGTAAATGATTTGTCCTGGTTATTTATTGGATCATTTATGTCCAGCTCTGAGGCCAATTCCGCTCAGAGCTAGGCAAGAGTGATCCCACGAAGGCGAAGAAAGGAGCAGGATCTTACCCTGAAACACCTCCAGAAGCATTTGGAAACACCTTGGACTTAATTTTATACACACTTGCTCAGGGACTGGATGTTCTGGATGGGAAATAAAAGGAAGGTTTTGATTGGAAAGATGGAAACAGTTTTAGTTGGCGCAATCAGAATTAAAAACCATCCAAACAAAAAAAAAAAAAAAAAAAACCAAACCAAAGAAACAAATAAAAACACACACCTCCCCCCAAAACAAAACAAAACAAAACATAAAACACCCCCTCAAAAAAGAAAAAAAATTTAAAAAAGGAAAAATTACATTTCATTTTCCAAGGATTTCAATTATTGCATTCCCCCTAGGAACTGGATTTTTTTCCAGGCAATGAAAAGGCTTTGGGAGTTTGCTCATGGCAGCACAGCCCCACCTCCTCTAGTGCCAGATATTCCAGAGAATCCCAGAATTAGCTGAGATCCTACAAAAATTACCCAGTCCAACTCCTGGCCCTGAGTCTGGGATGAGTCCAGGAATGATCACAAGAACTGGGTTAGGCTTGGGAGGCAGCTGAGCCTGGAGCAGAGCTTGTGGATCATGGATGAGGTGTGGGAAGGAGCATGGAGAGGATGGAGGTTCCCACTGTAAATCCCAGTTCTGTAAATCCCCACACTGCAAGTCCCAGCTCTGTAAATCCCAACTCTCTAAATCCCAGCTCTGTAAATCACTGTACTAAATCCCAACTCTGTAAATCCCAACTCTGTAAATACCAGCTCTACAAATCCCAGTTTTGTAAATCCCAACTCTATAAATCTCAATTTGGTAATTCCCCATACTGTAAATCCCAACTCTGTAAATCCCAACTCACTAAATTCCAGCTCTGTAAATCACCACACTAGATCCGAACTCTGTAAATTCCATTAACTCTGTAAATCCCAACTCTGTAAATCCCAACTCAGTAAATCCCAACTCTGCAAATCCCAACTCTGTAAATCTCAACTCTGCAAATCCCAACTCTGCAAATCCCAACTCTGTAAATCCCAACTCTGTAAATCCCAACTCTGCAAATCCCAGCTCTGTTAATCCCAACTCTGTAAATCCCAACTCTGCAAATCCCAACTCTGCAAATCCCAACTCTGTAAATCCCAACTCTGTAAATCCCAACTCTGTAAATCCCAACTCTGCAAATCCCATCTCTGCAAATCCCAACTCTGCAAATCCCAACTCTGTAAATCCCAACTCTGTTAATCCCAACTCTGGAAATCCCAACTCAGTAAATCCCAACTCTGCAAATCCCAACTCTGTAAATCCCAACTCTGCAAATCCCAACTCTGTAAATCCCAACTCTGTAAATCCCAGCTCTGCAAATCCCAACTCTGCAAATCCCAACTCTGTAAATCCCCATACTGCAAAACCCCACACTGTAAATCCCAACACTGTAAATCCCAACGCTGCAAATCCCATCTCTGCAAATCCCAACTCTGCAAATCCCATCTCTGCAAATCCCATCTCTGTAAATCCTCACTCTCCAATGTCTCTTCTTTAAAGAGGAACCCCAGGGAGGAAGGGCTTGGAGAACATTTGGAAAAACCAACAGGGATGAATCCTCATGGTGGAAGGAGGAGGGGGTGTGAGCAAGGAGGGAGGGTTGGGATTGGAGGGAGGGATTTTGTGGAGTGTCCCAGCCCATGGAAGGAGGTGGGAGTGGATGATCCATGAGCCCAAATCATTCTGTGATCCTGGAAAAAAACAGGCCAACCTCATCATCCCTGGGAGCTTCCAAAGCAAAATGTGCAAGGAAAACCCTGAATTTCCCATGGGAAATCATCCTGCTGATCCCATATGGAATAAAATACAAGAGCAAAACTGTTGCCTGCTGGATTTTCTTTTCTTGAAATCCAGGGTGGAAAGCAGCAATTAACATTTTCCTCTGGTGGCTGGACACATCTCAGGGAAGGAGAATTCCTTGGTGTTTTGAAGGAATTTGAAAAGCTCACTTCTGGAAAAGAGGGAGCAAAGAATTCCAGAAGAGGAAGGGCCTCCATGGAAATCAAATCTCTGCTTTCAGTTATCACAAGAAGAAATCATGGAGAGATCAAGCCTGAGGAAAAAAAACAATATAGGGGAAAAATGGGAATCCATTGGAAGCAGAATCAGGAACTGAGGGGGAAAATAGAGCCAAATATAAAAAGGCAAAGGAGTGCAAGAGGAAAAGGAAGGAACGTGGATGAACCATGAACAGATGTGAGGAATGAATTGCTGGACAATGCCCAGAAACATCTGAGAACTGGGAAAAGAGGCAGAAAAAGGAAGGGAAAGAAGCCAAAAAGCACAAGAGCGCTGTTTTTATCTCCTCAGGGTTTGTTTGTAGCTGTTCTGAGAACCCGACTTTGCTTTCCAGAACCACTCAGGAAATTGGTTGGAAGCTGCAGCCTCCTGTGGACAAATCCCACCTCCAGGAGGTTCTCCTGTTGTCAGCCCCACTCCTGTAGTGGTGTCCCCACTCCGTGAAAATGTCCATGGACATTTTCCCTCTGCTGTGGGAGGCCTCTGGGAGCTGCCACGAGGAGCAGGAGAAATCCAAACCAGCTCCACTCCTCACTAACAGTGACATGTGGGCAGCAGGCACAGAAGCAGCTCTTCCCTGGATCCAGGTTTATGTCCTGAATTCCTTGTTCTTTTTAGCAGGACAAGGAACATCTCCTGGGGCTTTGCAGCTGGAGAAACATCTTGACACACAAAGGAACTTCTTTATTTTCACTTTGTATCCTGCCCTTTTGTATCACTGTGAAGTAATTCCTCATCCCAGTTATTCCAGAGGATGGAAAATCTTTGTTCCTTTTGAGGATTTTCCTCAGGCTGGGAGATTTTTTATCCTCTGTAGTTAAAAAAACACCCAAACACACACACACACCATAATTTGGGATTTAATCAGCGCCCTGGCAGGGCTCTGAGCTCTCCCTGGAGCTTCTCCTCTCCAGGTTGAACATTCCCAGCTCTCCCAGCCTGGCTCCAGAGGGGCTCCAGCCCTGGAGCAGCTCCATGTCCCCCTCTGGATTTGTTCCCAGAGCTCCACACCTGTGGGGAAAATGAGGATATTTCAATTTGATGTTAGGATTTGGGATTCCAGCTTTATCCACCTGCCTCAGCCTTCTCCCCTCCAGTTGAACATCCCCGTGGGCCAGAATCCCATTTTAGAGGGATTTCCATCTCCTTTTCCATCCCAGAGAACTCCTAAACCCCAGAGCTGCACAACTTCAAAAATGAGGAAAACCAACTTGGCCCAAAACCCTTACTGCTTAATTGGCCTGTTAATTACCTAAATCCTTTTATCCATGAGGAATATCCCAGTTCCATCACTTTTATGGGCTTTAACAGTGGAAGTTTTATAATTTGGAACATCCTGTTTCAAAATAAAAGAAAAATGAGCTGATTTTTCAGGGAATTGTCCCATGTTTACAGATGTTTGTGTGTCCTGCTGAGCTGCTGTTTAGGAGAATTATTTGCTGTCTCCAATGCCAAATAAAGCTGTTATTTCTTATCTCTGATGAGGATTAATTAAAATAAATCAATTTTTAAAATCCCATTTTTCACTCAAATCTTCCCTCAGAACTAAAAATGATTTAAAATGTAATTATTTAATGCAAAGCATTGCTGTAAAAGATAAAGACTATAAATAATAATACCCAAAAAATAAATTTTGCAAACACTTTTCCATTTTCTAAACTTCCTGATTTTGCTGATTTCTTGGAATACACTTTCTTTTTTTCTTGAGGACAGAGTTGAGTCATCTGGAACTGAGGCCATGCTTATCCCAGTAATGGGAATCTCCTCAAGGGATGTTTGGGAATCTCCTCAAGAGGGATTTGGGGATCTCCTCAAGAAGTGTTTGGGAATCTCCACCAGGGATGTTTGGGAATCTCCTCAAGAGGGATTTAGGAATCTCCTCTAGGGATGTTTGGAATTCTCCTCAAGAGGTGTTTGGGAATCTCCTCGAGGAATATTTATCCCAGTGGGAGTTCCTAAGTGCAGGAAGCTCTTCAGAACAGGTAAACAGAGAGGAAAATTTGGATGAGCCCAGGAGGAGGTTGGCAGCTACTTTGGAACAACAAATCCAAATTTTAATATTCCCTCAGCACAACCTGGAGCTCCTTTGAGTTACCCCAGTGGCCACTTGGATTTTCTAGGAATTATGAACTCTTGGAACAGGAGGCTCCTTGTTATGTTTGATGAGGGGTTTGTTTAACTATTGGGATGTTGCTCCTGACTGGGAGAGGGGAAATTCAGTACAGAATTCCAGAATGGGATTGGGATTCCCTCCATTCCCTTTATTCCCTACATTCTCTTAATTCCTTACATTTTTACATTCCCTACATTCCCTTCTTTTCCTACATTCCCTTCATTCCCATGGATAATTTTGCTGGTTAACTTCCAGACCTGTTTTCCTTGGATTGCCAGGAGCTGAGGATGCTCAGCAGCAGTTTTATGAAATTAAGTCAACAGTGAATTTCTTTTTTTTTTTTTTTTTTTTTTTTTAGCAATATTAGTTTTCCCCCTTGGACAAAGGCACCAAGGAAACATTTCCTGGTGGAACAAGATAATTCCATGCAGGAACTGTGTTCCAGAGAAAAAAGTCAAGCCCAGGGTTTTATAAAAGGCAGTTGGACTGGTAAAGTTAGAAAATCTGAAATAAAAATTAGTTTTGCCCATAAATTATGTTCATTTGTACATAAAAATATTGGATTTTTTAGGAATTTTGTTCAGGCACAAAATCAGGCTAGAAAGAAGACTAAAGGGAAATTCAGAGTATTTTATTTCATTTAAAGGTTCACAATTAGCACATTTACCTAAATAAAAAATCCTCGCCAGTCTCCCATCTCTTCCTTCCCAGTTTTTAACCATTGTGCAGCTTCCCTGGGCAACAAGGAAAAAAAAAAGGTGAAATTGGGGGTTTCTGTATGTTTTAACTATATTTTTCCTTTTTTTCTGGTGTTAAATTCCCCCAGATTGCCTTGAGAAACAAAACCAGGCTTTGGCAGGTTGGTCCTAGTTAAGGACATATGGCTCCTTATTCCCTGTGGGAATTCAGCCAGAAGTCAGCCAGAAAATCCAGATTCCCCTAATTAACAACAGCCAAACATTTGGCTAAAAAATCATGAGGGCTTTTTACTGTTGTTTGTTTATTTTCTGTTGGTTTTGCGTGGCTTTCTAC